GACTAATACATCCTAGGAGAGAAAATGTTTTTAATCAGGCTTTGAACTGAGCTCTGGGATTTATTTCACTCGTTTATTCAGACTTCTTATCAGCCTTTTATTGTTTTTGGTTTTTATTGTTGTTGCTTTTATTTTTTATTATTATTTTCTGTATGTTCTGTGTACATGCTTTAACGTTCTATAGGTTCCTTCACCAGTTTCATAGCAGTATTTTTTGATCTACTTTACCTTTGATCTACTTTACCTTTGAACTACTTTACCTTTGATCTACTTTGCCTTTGAACTACTTTACCTTTGATCTACTATCTGGGGGGGGGGGCGGAGGGCTCTGCACCTCAGGGGTGGGGCCATCTATCTGCCGGGGTCGGAGTTGTAGTATATGTATATAAATATATGTATGAGGAAGAGAGGATGATGGGAAATGAAGAAGGTCAGGTCAGGTCTAACATCAGGTTCTTCTGCTCTCCTCCAGATCAACTTTGCCTTCTTCATGCTCAACGCCATGTGGCTCTCGGCGACCTTCACGCTGCAGGTCTTTGAAGCCTCCTTCTCCATCACGGTGCCCAAGGTCAACATGAACCTGGAGGAGACCGATTCCATGGTGACCATCGACCCCATCGCCTTCATGTTCATCCTGGGCTTCGCCATGTCCGTGATCATCCAGTTCTTCGCCATGTTCTACCACAGGTGAGGCCTCAGAGACGGCGGTCAACCCGTCCTGACCCAGACCCGACCGGGACCTTAACCGTGTCTTTGTGGTGGTCTCTCCCCAGACTCTACACCCTGATCCACTTCATAGCCTTCATGGACACAGAACCCAAGGACCATCGCATCGAGAAACCAAAGAAGGAGAGGTATCTGAAAGGCAAAAAGAAGGTGTGTAATTATGCTAACGATGAAGCCGGTTTCGTCAGCGTGAGCGGTTGCGTGACCCGAGGCGCTCGCCGTCGCCCAGTGTTCCAGCACAAACTGCAGCCATTGTTTCTCTGCCTTTTACTGCTGTGAGAGAACGACATGTGTGGAATTCACGTGCTGTAATTACCTGCGCTCGTCAACTGAAGCCCTCGGAAAGTACTTTAATTGCTGTGAACGGTGGAGGCCAATGTCCCGGCCCCACCCTCCGGGTGTGGCGTCGCAGTAATTGGACTGAATTGTCCCCACAGGTCGACACCACCTCCACCATCGACACCGCCTCGGCCAACGACACGGCCTCCACGGCCTCCGCCTCCTCCACCACCCCCAGCACCTCCCAGGGGGAGTCGGTGGACCTGGACACGGAGGACAGCGACTACGAACCCTTCCCCAGCATGTACAGCACCAGCAACGGCGGCGGGACGCTGGTTTGAACCCACGCCGCACAAAACTGTTAGCACTTTTGAAATTCTCTCTCTCTCTTTTTTTTTTTTACTGTTTGAAAAATAATATAAGCTTTTTAAAAATATTAATTTATGTCTAGTTGTGTCACGTCGTTTATTTTAAGACGTAAATAAAACATGAAGTAACGACTCAGGGAAACGAACGAACGTCGGTGGTTCAACGCTGCTGCTTTAATACGAAGGCTAAACAGTGGAGACACAGAACAGCGCCACCTTCAGAAGACGGGCCTCCGGGGTCTGGAACCTCAGGTGAACCCGACCCCAGGCCGCTCCTCCTTCATCCATTCCTGTAATTAGATCTCAGTTACCAGGAACAAAAACACGCTCCACTGTGTCGTCCTTTCATTCCTTCTCCTTCAACCAGAAGATCAATACAGAAGGTGTACTTCAAAGTGAAGGGCTGCCAAGTATTAACCTGCAGAGAGTCAACGGAGGATGAAAGGATGAAAGGAAGGAAGAAAAACCGATGCTGCTGCTAAAACAGCTGTAACGAGCGTTAGTTACAAAAACGTTGAGTCTATTTATTTACATTCCTGTGTCAACTGTTGTTGTTGACTGTATTCACAGATGTATGTTACTGTTGTGTACATATGGATTTTTACTTTGTTTATATAGATTTACGCTCATGTTTACGATTAACAAAAAAGAAGCTTTTTACATAAATAAATGTGAAGTATAAATATTTCCAGTCGTGTGTTTTTATTCACTCGCGTCTCGCACCGACGGTTCAACATCGACCGGAGAATGTGGGGAATGTGGATGGTGTTGTTGTTGCTGTTTACTGATTCTGAACCACATTTCACCTGGGATATCAACCAGAGGTGCAGGAAGAATGAAGAGTCGAGCCTGACTCACCGCTGCCACCGGTTGAACCTGTTTGTAATTGCAGTGTAAAATAGTTTCTTCACGTCAGCGTGATTTGAACTACAACAAACTGAGAGGGTTCGATTCCCAACAAGAAGCCGAGGAAGAGGAAGAGGAAGAGGAGGAGGAAGAGGAGGAGTCAAGGAGTCGGGTTCTCAGAACAGCCCTGGTGTGACCCCAGTGGACAGATGAGGAGTCTACACCTCCACTGTGTTTAACGAACATTGTTGTCATTGATAGTCAGTTCTACAGAAAGGTCTGGAAATGACTAATAATGACTAAGTAAATGACTAGTTAAATGACTAAGTAAATGACTAATAATGACTAAGTAAATGACTAGTTAAATGACTAAGTAAATGACTAATAATGACTAAGTAAATGACTAGTTAAATGACTAAGTAAATGACTAATAATGACTAAGTAAATGACTAGTTAAATGACTAAGTAAATGACTAATAATGACTATTTGAGGAAACTGCCCAGTAAATGACCACAGTGACTTCACACTGTAGTTTTATCACTACAGGAACCAAGTTCAGGACCGGAGCATGTCGTAGCCCCCGACCCACCCTGACATACGACCCACCCTGACATACGACCCACCCTGACGTACGACCCACCCTGACATACGACCCACCCTGACACACGACCCACCCTCACACACAACACCCCCTCAACCACACACA